GGTTTTGGCCCCCCCCCGGGGCGGGGCGCGCGCCCCCGGGGGGCCCCCCCCCCCCCCACTCGCATGGGATTCTCCATCTACCCCAGCATTGCAGCATTCACAAGCTGCCTGGTACCTTGAGGTATGTAGAAGAAACATTTAAAGCTGGGTCTATGTCTGAATCTCTGAATCTTTCCAATTCATCTCAGAGAGATTAAAGGGTCTCCTGATTCGATTCGGAGATTCAGCCAGTGAATCGGGCTGAATCTCTGCTGAATTGAATCAGGGACCGAAGCTTCATGCAGCCCTAGTAAGTAGATCTGGTATGCATCAGTAGCCATTTCTGTGTCCCTTCAATATCAACTGAACTGCAAGTTTTTTTCCAGTTTCCATTAATGCTCATTGAACCAACTGCCAAAAGACAAAGCCAAGAAATATGGCATTATAAGCCCTTGCACCTACCTGATGCACAAGTACTGTGTATTCTACTCATTAGTGGAGATTAACCTATTTTTCTGCACAACCCACGACAAATCATGAAACTGCAAACCTACACTTTTCTCTCCAAAAACCATCAAGTTACGGTTTTTCAAGCCTAGTATTTTGACTTTCAAGTCTGTAAATGTCATTTACCAGATGAAATTTGTCATTTGTTTTTTCTTGCACACATTTGCCTGAAACATGGCTGCCAATCACTTCTGTAGCAGGAAATACAGATGTTGTTTTGGCATTCCAGAAATGAATAGAAGATTGGAACGAAAGATAAAATTGTGAAAGCTCTGCTATGCATTCCATAAAACTCAACTAATTACTAAAACATCCATGCAGATAAAGCACAACTTCTCATAACACAATGCCTTTAAGACCTTCCCTGGTAACTATTTGGAGTGAGCATTCACTTTGCAATCATGTGTAGAGCTACACTGTTATTATTATTGCTATGAATTGTTCATAAGAATCCTTCAACATATTAGACGTTCAAACTAGAGGTCTCCTAGGAGAATTTAAAAAGCTTTGATGTATTGTATATTTGTTCTAACACGACTTCTTTTTTGGTCTAATTTCTATTCCGAACCCTCTATTAAAGCAACATACTGTACATTCCACCCCTATTACAGATCTTTGTTATAACACCCTTTGAAAGAAGACAGATGTCAAGTGACTTGAATGTATACTAGCCCTCCTTATAAGAGTACCTTCTTTTATAGCACTTAGCATGGTTCTTCAGCAAGCATGATACTGGAGAAAGGATTTTAACAAACACAGTTAATAAATATATCAGCCTGACAAAATTATTGCATACATTTGCCATACGGATTTCCCCAGTGATGATTACTGATAACAAAAAAAAAAAAAACCCTAAATGAGGAATTCACATCAGTCAAAAAAGCCATTTACTCAGAGCTAAGAAAGCTATTCAAGAGCAACAGATGGATCCCTGAAAAAATTATTCAAGTTAGAATTCAAATGAATTATGATCTAATTCTCCAAACAAGGAAACAGCAAGGCTACCTTGTGCATAGTTCCATATTAGCACCAAGTGAAACTGTCCTTGATGAATAGGCAAGTGGGGTTTTGTTTGCGGATCAACTTTCTATGATGTCGAACTGAATACTGTAGTTTAGCTTTTAGTAGATGGCAACAAGTTTGTATCTATGCAGTGTAGGCTTTGGGAATGAGGGACTGATAATAATTACTGGGTTGGGACAACAGCCAGGGAAAGAAAAAAAAAATGGTAGAACATTATACAAGAACAGAGGGAGGAAAAAAGCAGATCAGGGACCTTGGGCAAACTCTACTTGTAAAAACAATGATATTTGCACACAACAAGCAGGATCTTGGTGGGTTCCTCAGTCCCCTTTTGAAAAAGTCTCATCCAAACAGGCCCTCCTTCCTCCCATCAAAATTATATAGTTCAAAGATTTTTCAGCCAATACACACTTGAATGCCATGTAGTCACTGCTGGTATGTGGAACTGATGATTTCAGAGTACACAGGAATTTCAGACATGCTAAAGAAATGCAACTACACCAGTTTTGCTTCACTGACAATTCCCTAAGATGACAGCATTGCCCATTTTCTACTATGTGAATGAATTCTATTTTTTTCATAGTTAAGCACTGAAATAAAAATGTCAACATTTCGGTTGTAGAATTCCATAGTCAGTACCATGCAGGAAGTCAGACTAAATGGAGATTTCTTATGGGTTTCAATTCTTTGAATATATTACCCCATTATGTCTCATGTTATTGTGAGCCACCAAGATTCAGCAATCTTCCCTGGAGGCAGCTGTGGCGGTGCTTGGAGCGTGCACGGCGCGGCCGGGGGAAGGGGTCGGTCCCCAGGCGCTGCAGAGGAGTCCTGCAAACAATGGAGGGGGGGGTGTGGAAGCAGGGGTCTGACGAGGAGCCCCGTCAGTATTTGTGGATTTTGCCATTTGTGGGGATCTCTGGAACATATCCCCCGTGAATGGCGAGGGTCTCCTGTACTTACACATGAACTTAACCCATCATATCTGCACAGCTCTAATTAAATAGAGTTCTGCCTCTCTGTGTACTGGATACACTTTTATCCAGGAGTCCCGATAATCCAATCTAAATCTAACAAACAGCATTAGGATAGATAAAAGCAGAAAACTGAGACAGGACACTTAGCATTTTAAGACAGTGTGAGTCAGTGTCACACATATGAAGCTTCTGAAGTCCCAATATTTTTCATCAGCAAGATGAAGGTTGGAGAAAGGGGAGAAGCATTCAGCCAGAAAGTTAAATTAAGTGAAACACAGAAAAAAGGGTAGGAGGAAAAAGGAAAGCATATGAGGCAAAGTGTCTCTTCATAGGGAACATTGAAGGTTAGCAGTAGACCCAGCAACAGAAGCAAGCATCATCAGGGTCCCAGAGACCTTGACGCTTACTGGTGAATCTCAAATAAATGAAGGAGCGATTAGGAAGGAAGATGACCGAACCATGGCAGGAACCAGTGATTGGACAAAGGCACTGGGATACAGAGAGGAAAGAAAAGATTTCTAGAAGTGTCACAGAGAGAGCATGTGTGTATGTGACAATTGAAGAAAGGGAGAAATCAAAGTATTATGAATCTGTGTGGTGGAGAAGGACAGCAAGGCTGTCAACAGTGATGAATAAAGGGGAAAAGATTTAGGAGGAAAAAGTAGTAGTTCAGTTGTGACAGTTTAAAAAAGGAAGCAGAGGGTCATCCTCAAGGAGACATCAGAGATGGATAGGAAGGGACACATGCCAAGATGGAGGGGAAGGGGTCAAGGGTGGACAGGTAGATTTATGAGACATAAGCGTCTCTGGCTGTTTCAGAGTCCAGTAAGGAATGCAGAGGGCTTATCCAAGGACATTACATAACCCGTCACACCTCCTGGAAGAGTTAGAGGAACTGCCTGGTTCCCATGTGGCAGAGTCATAAGTTACTTAACTCTTGACTTACACTGTAGGCATCCTCTAGATGTCATAATCGTATTTCTACCTATCACCTTTTAAAAAAAATCTCTCATATATCAAAACCAATCCGGAAAAGAACCACTGCACTCAATTGTTACTAATTTCAGTGATGTCGTAACAGTGATGGCTGTAAGAATTTTATACTTTGCAAGACTAGGACCATTATTCCAGTCAACACTGGAAGAATCTACAACTACTTGTTTTGTTCAAATTAATAACTGAATCAGCTTCAGGTCTGTTAATACCTCGTACACTCTCTTGCCATCAATTGCCAAGCAGCTAAGTTGATTTGAGCTGATCATTTGCAGAACAGCATCAATAACACAGTCATGAGCACAAGTGTTTGGAGCAACCAAATTTCAGGTTCAAAGATGCAAGTACTTTTGTCAGAAGCATTTCATAGCAGGGAACTGGAAGCACTGTGTAGTCTGTCTGATTAAACACAATCAACCAACAAAACTCTAGCAACAAATATTCACAGAATTTTTCGCTATCATTCCACATCATTTTAGAGAATTACTGTCAGCTCAGCTAGTTACATATATTTTAACTCAGTATTCATGGGTAACAAAGTCATTTATTTGAACAAATACAAATAAAATGAGAAAAATAATTAAAGTGATAAAGATATTATTAGCAGCCTTTGACCTGAATTTCCCTGATAATCATCCACCATAATGTCTGGTACTGAAATACTTCATAAGATCTATCTCAGGAAAATTACTGGTTCGGGTGACTGGCATAAACACTGCAGCTTACAAAATAGAAGAGGCCTAAACACAGTTACATACACTAAAGCAGAGGTCAGCAATGTTTTTGGGCAGAGTGCCAAAAACACCATTGACCTCAACTTGTAAGATGTTGGCATGCCTGGGGCGGATGGTAGAGGAGCCACTAGGTGCCCGATCCTTGTTGAAGCAGCACAACCCTGGTCCCTTCCCTGCCACCCGCCCTGAGGCATTCTTGCCAAGCAAAATGCCTTCAAGTGCCACACTCTGGCACTCATGCTGTGGGTTGCCTAAAGCATGACGCCATCAGAGATGCTAGGTTTTTTTAGTCAGGAACAAAGTTAGGCTTTCTGTTATTGTAAAATAGTTTATGTAGACATCGTACCTCTGTTATGTCTCCAACTGCATAAATGTGAGGAACAGAAGTAGCTTCGCTGGCATCAACAATGATCTTTCCAGTTTCAGAATTCATTTTCACTCCAACTGTCTCCAAATTAAGAGTTTTAGCATCAGGAACTCGACCTTAAGGAAACAAAGAAGTTTAAGCTAAAAATATCTGAAGACTTTGGCAGCTTTAAATCTACAAAACAGTCACTCTCCAGCAAAGGTTTCCAAGAACTCTGTGCAATTCAATAGCCCAACCAAAAGAAAACAAAAAATGTACTTGACAGTGGCAAAGTTGTAAATGGAAATTACTGATATGAGTCTCTTTTTGTGAAAATAAAACATTAGCTTCATTACTAGTGCCTTTGCTTAAACAACTGTGAAGAAAGTTATCTATAGTACAACTTGTCAGCCGCCACCCAGTTCTACAGCATGTGGAAACCAGAAGGTTGTTTATAGCGTATTATTAACTACAGTTAACAAATGTAACATCAGTGCATACTTCTGTTTATAACTGAATTGCCTCTACATTAAAGGCAGCTTAGATACTACCTTAAAGAGTCAGTGCCGACTTAAAAGTCATAAGTTGTACAGATTTTTTTTATTCATTAGTAACTGCAAAATAGTAAAACTGATATAATTAATAAAAATCCTCATTTATTGCAACTTGATGCTCTTTGTATACTTCACATAATTCATTAAGCATAGACAATGACAAAAAAAGTCAGTAAAGTCAATCTCACTTTCAAGTTCCTAGGATTGTGATGAGAATGGGTGCATTTTAAAACAACTCTTGAATGGATATATTTTTTTAAGTGTAGTAGTTTCCTTCACCCCTAGGTTTTATAAAAGCTGCTTTTTACACAGTTTTTACTGTGGAATAAATTTAAGTGGATGATGTCTCTTTAAATTATGCAACCAATTACAGAAAAGGCATAAGGACAATAACCTCAGTTACAAAAGACCACAGAAAGCTCTCTAGGAAAAGCCTGATAACATTTTATTGGGCAGTCTGCATGGTGTCTGGCATAACAGGCCCCGATTCCCGACTGGAGTTCCAAAGTGCTACCATACTATAAATAATAAATTAATTGAAAAGCAATGAGCAGAATCACATTATCAAGCATTAGCAAAATTTACAAGGACGAACCAGATAGATCACACAGGAGATCAGCACAAGCAATACAAATGAGGGAAACTTCCTTATGCTATTATAGCTGCATCCATTTTTGGAGGCTCTAGAGGAAGGGAACGGGAGCATATTCCCCTTGCGTGGGACGGTGGTTTTCTGTTTGATGTTAATGTAGAGCTATAGCAAAGCAAAATGGGAAAATTGTTTTGATTATGAAAAAAGCAAAGCCTTTGATGTTAATGTAGGAAATTATTAAACAAAAGGAAAACCTGGCTTGTCACTGCAGATCTAATTATATGTAAACATATGATTCACTGCTTTATACATCTGCCATATAGCCAGGCCCCCCAAACAATGTCACATCTGAATGCCTCTGTAAAGACTTCTGTGTATTAATTTCATCTGGTGAAACCAACACTTCCTCTGGGAGTACTGACTGAAGCTGTCGGCACTTGGCTATCTGTCTGTCTTCCCTTCTGTTGTCCCCATGGGATGTTGATCTGCTGTTCCTTCTCTGCCCCCTGCTCCCCAGTCCTGATGCTATCAGGCAACAAAAATAATAAACCTCTAGGACCTTATCTTGGCTCGGATGTGAAACAACTTCCTACCGTTGTATTTCTTTGTGTATTGAGAGTAAAGCCTGGATATTCTGCAAATGGACAGCTAATGGGGTTTTCTAGTTTCTCCTTTTTCCTGCCCAGGCAGAGCCAAGAGAAAACTTAGCACGCAATGGCAGGGCATTGGGAAAAAAACCCTGCCCTGTCAATAGATTAGTTTAAAGAGCTGTGACAAAAACAACAGCTGAGTTTATCAAATCTGCAGGGTAACATTTAACCTTTCAATTCCAATCTCTGTTAACATGTGCATCGCTCAGTATTAATAGCTAAAGAATTACATAAAATACATTTTGCTGGTCAATGTGAAACTCTTACCCACCTCCAGAGTCACTACCTAAACATTACTTAGGAGAGAAGCTGAAGTTTTATTGGCTCATATTCATAAACTCAAAATATATTAATTCATCTTGCTTCAGATCAGATTTATTAGTTAATGACTTCTCCAACATGCAGTCCAAGTGGCTCAATTAATTTTAAATCCCAAATTTAGCAAATTCTGACAGTTCCCCACATTTATGCATCTGCAATATCAAGTCCGTTGCTAACATTTTTTTTTTTTGCAAGGCAGGGTAGCAGGGTTAAGTGTTTCTGATAAACTGCTCTTAAGTTAACTCTTTTTTTCAACTATAATTGTAGGAAAGTATCTGTTCACAGCTTCCTCCAAGGAGGAAGCAACTTCAACCCACATGTCAAACCACCACCTGAAGCAGAGATAGAGGCTCTTTTAAAAGATTGCATACATGCTTTTTAAGCACTGAAGATGACCACCTTGAACTTTGAAGAACAATGAGACTTAAGGCACAGGACTGACCTTAACACTTATCAGTGATTAGGGACCTATTGAAATAGCAATTTCATGAAAGCCATGATTTTGGGCAGGCTTCACAAAAAAGTACAGGCTGCATGCTTTTGGTAGGCTCCCTGGAAAAAACAAAAAACGCCCAAAACTTACCAAAAATAAAATGCTGGTCTCCTCTGGGGAGTCAGCAGTTCTTGTGGCCACTGTGCCCCAAGGAGATAAGCTGCCAATATGGCAAAAAGGCTGCTGCCCCTGCCCCTCACTGGCTGCAAGGACTGTCTATCATATGGCTCTGCCCTTCCACCAATTGGTGATGAGGGGTGGGGCCACATGCAGACAGCTCTTGCAGCCAATCAGCAGCAAAGGGAGGGAGTACCAGGGCCCCTCGGCCAGAGGTGTAGGGGGGCCAGCTGTGCTTGGCCCACAAACATGGCTGCCAACTCTGCAGTCTGCCCGCAAAATCAGCTTGCAGCCGACTCGATTTCGGTAGACCCCTACTCATCAGCACTGCACGACACTATCCTACCCACCTGGAAAAAGATACCGACTCCCGCTTGCTGGTTCTTGTGCACTACCATACCACCCACTCTGCAGTAAACATGAACGAACACCACGTTCTCACTTCTAATCAGAAATAAAATAATCCAAGCGGTGAAAACCTGTATCTATATACCTATAACCTCACAGGCTGTTTCTATTCCCCTGGGGCTTTCCAGAGTCCTTTGCCCCAATTTGACAAGCCTCAGCCAAGTGGTTTCTTGAAGATGATGCCAGCCCACAGGCTGGGAAATGCACGTAAGCCCCCTCAGGCCACCATCAGGTTGGATATACGTGGATGCAACTCTGACCTATGTGAGGTTGCCCATTGTACAGCACTTGGAGCCAGCTGTCCCCACAGCGAATCGGAGCCAAGTAGCACTGGGCTGTGACCAATTTGCTGACAGGCGCCACATGTGACATACCAGTTCAGAAGGCGTAGTAATGGGCACAACCATGTAAACGCAGAACAAATACGTAGGAAAACCCACAGCCACCTGCTCTTGATAAAACAAGATTTTCCTTGAGGATAAAAGTATAAGTAAAGTTTACTTGCTCCCAGATGTCTCCCTTGCTACTCATCTATTCTGCTTTTTTACTGCATTGCCCCTCATCCCCTTTACTCAGCGAGTCTGGGTCCCCCATTTTCCCCAGTCTCTGCACTTTCTTCCACTGCTGCTTAGGCAGGAGACGACTTCTCTGAACAAATCTTTGAGGCCACTATGCATTTCTCCTTCAAACCCCACTGCTACTACAATGTTTTGCTGTAGACAGCTAACTAATACTGGTTAATGAAGGTCAGCTGGGGACAACTGACCCTCAGTGAAGAGAAAAAAAAGGAAAATACTGATTATGGGGTAGGATGTTCAGATGTTTCTAAGCAGTTTAGGAGTTTGATTAAAACAGGGGTGGGCAATTATTTTGGTTGGAGAGCCACTTAATGTGTTTTGGGGACCTGTCAAGGGCCACATCCGTGTCTGTCTCTTACTCTGTCGGTCTCTTCTCTTCTCTCCCTCCTCCCAGAACCCACCGGAGCTCTAGTCTGCTGCAGCGGGAAGGCAGCGGAGTCAGCTAAAGATGCTGCTGGCAGGTTCAGGAGCCCGGATACAGAACCTGCCAATGACATCCACAGCTGATGCCATCACCCTCCTGGCATGGTGGAAGCTTCCTCCCAGAGCCCCACCCTGGAACCTGCCAGTGCTGTCACCTATGGACCCAAGCAGGAGTTGCTGCGATGTTGGGCAGTGGTGTCAGCTGTGGGCACAGCCAGCAGGTTCCAGGCCCCAATGCGGATCCTGCTGGTGATGTTACAGATGACGCTGCCACCTGCCCGGTGTGGCAGCGGCTCCTATCTGGGTCCACAGCTGACACCACCAGCAGGTTCCATGTCAGGGATCCGGGCAGGAGCTTCCACCACACCAGGAGGGCAGTGGTGTCAGCTGTGGATGCCACTGGCAGGTTCCGTATCCAGGCTCCTGAACCTATTGGCCGCATCCACAGCTGAGGCCGCCACCTGCCTGCTGTGGCAGAAGCGCTGCCTGGGTCCACAGCTGATGCCTGATGCTGCTGGGTGGAAGCAGTGCCACCCAGCTGCCTGGCACCACGCAGTGGCTGGAGCCACCAGCCACCCACAGGACAGATCCAGTTAGTTGGTGGCTGTCCACTTGTGGGTCAAATCAAATCTGTTGGTCAACTGGATCCAGCCTGTGGGCCGTATTTTGCCCACCCCTGGATTAGAAGCACTTGCACTCCCAAGTCACAAAGGTGCTTCTGAAAATGTCACCCATTGGGTTCTCAGCACCTCTGGATTTAGGTACCTAAGTAACTTAGCAAAAGCCACAGTATGAAGTTAGTGCTAGAGCTGTGACTACCCCTTACTGAGCTTCCCAAATCATACTGTTTCCCAAGGTGTTGAACTCCCACTCCTTGTGGGGAAAAGCCATATCAACTATTTAACAAAGGAGCTAACACAGCAACTGCTTGTGAGTTGGGTGTCTTAGTGCCATCTGTGATGCCTTGGCCTGAATATTATAGTTGTGAAGTGACTTGGTAT